TCACTTGGGTTGTTACCAACATCTGGTGAAAATTTCATGTCATTAGCACCTCTAGTAATATATTTACTGAGAAAAATGGTGACGTGTTCAACATTTATTTTACCCGCTGTATCTTTATGGAGACACTCAATTGACTTCCATTAATTTCTACAGCCTAATCTTGACCCTTTACCCTAAACCTAACCAACCAACCAACGTCCGACCCACCAACAGCATTTCCCCTGATGAGAACTATGGGTTTAGGTCACCATAAGTAGTAGTTGGTCCCCACAAGTAGGTGTGTATACCAAAAATGGTCCTAACATAGTAGGGAACACCTGCTCCCACATACACACACACACACACACACACACAAAACTTCAAAACAAAGGGAACTTACCCAACCCCATATTGCAATTCGATCTTTGTCAATAAAACCCATGTCTATGAATTTCCTGTAACAAATCAAATTACAGTAAAAAAAAAACAACAACACATTTACACTGACACAATGGTGCGGTTGTATACAGTTAAGAAAGTAAAAGTGGATAAAAAGTTCCTCTTTGTCACCTCACAGCTGCTATCTGATCTTCCACTTCAAATGTCCCCAGACGCTTGTAGATGGCGTGCAGTATTTCGTCGCCTTGGTAACCACTTCCCCTTCCATCAAAGCTGGCAACGATGATGCCATGTGAGCTGGAAAGGTACGTGGCCCAATTCAACTTGTACTGATAGTTCACATTCTGACTACAAGGGCCGCCATACCTGCAAAGGGACAGACTCGCCGTAAATCATGACATTTGCTTCCATTTTAGGGTCTAAAACTCTGAGTGATGTTTACTTACACATCAATGAGAAGAGGATATTTTTTGGATTTTTTGAAATTTGGTGGTAGCATCATTTCATACCAAAGCTCTGTTGGTTCAAAGAAAAGGGTTGAATGTAGTTATAATTTAATTGTAGCTAAGTCATAAAATCAGATTTGGATGTCTGAGAAGGTCTAAACAAAGTGGATTTCTGCTATCTTAAAACTCTGAGCAGCTCACACAAATGACTTTTAATGCACCTCTATATCAATGTCACTTTTGCATTAAAGAGATATTTATATAGAATTCTACAATTATTAGCAAACACTAATATTGACAACTGGCTATTGTACTTCAAGTGCACAAGAGTAGCCACAAAACCTTTGAGACTGATGGTATTTACGATGGCAGAAATCCACTTATGTTTTGGTGATCAGTCTGATCAGAGTTCACCTCTATGTCACCAAATGGAAGATGTCCCAAGAGCTACATGTAAGATATAAATAGTTCCATAGAACTCTACAGTTTTATCCAATAAGAAGAATTTTTTGGACAACTTTATTAAGTTTATTGAGGAGAATATATCTGCAAACTGCAAATGTGTAGGTCAAAAGTAGAGAAAAATAAAACTTAGCTGAAATAGACAGTTTTAGGGTAAAGATATAGTATTTATTTTTGAAGACACGACATTATAGATTGTTTCTGGATTTTTTTGTTGCACCCTACAGCTTTTAAAGGGGYAATATCATGTAAAATCAACTTTTTTGATCATGTTATAATGTTATACCCTCATAAAAAACACGCCCAAAGCCTTGCTCTGACTCATTCATGCATGTTTGAGAAATCCTGCAGCGTTTTTCGGCAGCCATGTGGAGGAGCAAAACGACAGGTGGGGACCAGAAACGCCTTTGGGGACCAGAAATGCCACTGGGACATGTCTTTAAGCTGAACTTCCTTATGGCAGAGCGCACCCCCCCCCCCACACACACACACACACACACCCCGCCCATGACTCCTGCAGGCTCTCGGATGAAAGTGAAAGTGAAACTTAACTGTCTGCGCTGCTCTCAACGTTAGTTCTCACTCAGTGAAGCTCTTTTGAGATTAAAAATGCCTTTGAGGAAATGTATTTTCAGATGCCAAGTAAGCTGCATCATAGTGCACACGCAACCCCTCCCCCCCCCCTTTAAAGAAGAAGATCATGCACTACCGGTCAAAAATTTTAGATCACCCTAATTTTTCCGATTTTTTAATTGAAATTCAAGCAGCTCAAGTCCAATGAACAGTTTGAAAGCGTACAAAGATAAGTGCTGAACTGCCAGAGGTTTAAAAAAAAACTGTGAGGTTACCAAAAACTGAAAGTCAGTGTGTCTGAGTCCAGTTTGCTTCAACATCACAATACACACAAAAACTGGAGGGAACTCTGATGGGAAGAGGTGTGGCAGACCCATCCTTGTCAGGACAGCAGATCATCACACTTTTTCCTCCATGTTTAATAGTTGTCACACACGGAGAAACCGTACATAAGCTCTGCATGTTGAACTGCAGATTTCAAATTCAGTAAACAGATAATTGCATTTAAAAAGGTAAGGAGCAGGACTAAAAAGATGGCTAAACTATAATTACTCAAGTAAAATGTCTACTTAAGTAACAAAGTATTTGCAGTTGTTGTTTTACACCTTTGCCTCTGAGTCTGCCACACCTCTTCCTGTCAGTTTCCACCAGATCTGAACTCATTGTGATGGTGAAGGAAACTGGACTCACAGACACCTCGACTTTCAGTTTTGGGTAACCTTATATTTTATACCTCTGGCAGATCAGCTGTTACCTTTGTACCCTTCCAAGTTGTTCATTTGTCTTGAGCTGCTTGAAATTCAAATTAAAAAACTGGAAAAATGATGGTGTTCTAAAACTTTTGACCAGTGGTGTATTACTTCAGTCCTTTCGAAGAGGCAATAAATATAGTCTCACCAAATCCTGCAATCTTCAAGGTGCCATATTTCATTGTTGGCATTTGGAACTCAGAGAGAATATTTTCCAAATCTTTGTTGTCTTCCAGAACTGAGAGCTCTAAAAAATGCATAATTAAAATTACCAGTTTTTCACAATAAAGAAGTTTGTATTAGTCAAACTTTACTCGAATTCTTGTTACTGTTGGCAAATAGTGACCTGCAAATATAGCACCAAATTAAATGGGCAAATTTGTATTTTAAAAAAGAAAAAAAAGTAAAAACAACACAAACCTGCACCTGAGCCCCTGTTATCCACGAGGGTGTGGAGGGGCAATCCAGGTCCTTGTAAAAGTAAAAACAGAAATGACATTTCAGGATGTGGTGTGTGAAAGGTGGAAAGAGGGCTGTCTAAACTCAGATCATTGTGCACAGATGTTCCCTACATGGTTGAGTTATTGCTCATAAACATGTGGAAAGGTAACTGACCATAGCAGTCCATTTGGTAGAAAGAGGCGTCATTGCTTAAGTAAGCTGAGTTGTACTGACACCTGTCCTCATGCAAGTCACAGGTGAGGCACTGAGGGGCTGACGGGCTGCTTCCAATCATTAACCTGATGAAAACAAACAAAAACAACAAACAAAAAAATCTCACAAAAGTCACAGTCAAGTTTGCAACCAGTCATTGTGGTAAAAATTGTCATATTAGTTTGTAGGTTTGGATGACTGATTTGAATCATCTGTTTTTCTGCCTGAAATACTAAAGTCACACAGTTCAACAGAGTATTAATGCCACGCTATAAGATNACTAAACAGCCTACAGCCTTTTTACAGACTTTGTTTTAAAGTTGAAGTAAATTTTTATCAAATAATGTCTAATGTTACAAGTAATCCTGGATCACTTTAAAGAAAAAAGTTATAAATGATTTGTACATTTAAAATACTAACGAGGCAAAACAACCATTGTGGCACTTTGGGAGTTTTAAAGCAGAGTTTTGTGGAAACGTTTTGAACAAATCTATCTGATCCGTTGTAGATCGGTCTTTGAACATGTTAGCTTGAAGAAATAAAGTTGAATTCTGATGAGCTAATGGTTAGTTCAAGTGGTCCAAAACCAAAGTAAATGACTTTTCAGTTTAGCATTAGGTGGTTATTTACGTATTCTTTGGTTATTTGCAAGCAGCAGTAAGCTGTTGCACTTCTGGTGCCACTTCTAATAGGGATATTAAAATGTTTCTTCCTAAATAAATAACGAAAACAATGGCATTTGAACGAACAACTCCAAACCTTTTAACTGTATTTGTTTTGAAATGGCAACACTTTGCTTTAATCTGCTCAGGCTAGCTGCTAGCTTAGCAATCTGGTCAGAACTGTTCAATGAGCTATCTACAACAGGTAAGATATTTATTGTTTATAACATTTCTACAGAACTGTGTTTTAAATATACATTTACTGTTGTTTTAACTTTATTTAATGTTACTCTTGATTAAAACATTGCTTAACATATTATGACCCAACCTTTGCGTATGGAATAGCCACTGTTTCAGGATATTGCTCAGATCCATACCAAGAGAACTCCACTTTATGAACTTCTGTGTCATTAAATTCTGCATAGGCCAAGTGTTTTCCTGTTGTGGACCACCATATCGCTTCGTTCGATACCAACACTTCCTCTAAAAGTTGGGGAAAAAGACTTAGTAACAACATTTTGTCTTTGAGCACGGAGTACACAGTAAACATTCCTCACCCTCATACATCCAGTCAGGGATACCATTAAAAATCTCATTCTTCTTCCCATTGTGTGTCAACTGCACAGCTTCAGCCGTGATATTGGAGTGATAAAAAATGTTGAAGTCTGAAACATAGGCCTGTAAAAAAGAGTAGGGTATGTTATTGATGATTTGATGAACAAAAATAGTTTATGTTTATGTAATTACTTTTAAAAATTCAGCACCACAAGAAATTTATGAAAACATCATGAAATTTTGCATTTTTCTTTAGAGTTTAGGGATAAAGACGGATGAGATCAGTAAATAAAAAAATACATAGAGACTCACAAATTGGTTTCCTGTTGGTCCAAAAGTAAAATACTGTACAACGGATGGAAGACTCACCGATGTGATAAATGTTCTGCAAATAAATGACAACAATATTAAGGGCGGTATTTTTTTTAAGTCTAGTGATCCAAGTTGGATAAAATGACAATGAACAAAATATGAATAAAGTATAAATTAAACATCAGCTTTCTTTGCTAATTTAAGCTTTTTCTTTCTTCAGGTTTTGAAAGATCTTTTGTAAACAAAACCAGAATGTACTACAAAGCACACAGAGCTGCTGAAAATACAAAAAATACAACAACAACAATAATAATAATAATAATAATAATAAGAAAAATAAGAATAAAGTCATAACATCCTAAGATAAAAGTAAAATATTCAGAGAATAAAGCTGTAATATTACAAGAATAAAAGCAGTCTTCCCACCGCAGTAAAATGAGGAATGTTGAACATCTTGTGAAGTTATACTTTTGTATTAGGGAAAGAAATATTTGTTCTCTGAACACATCAACATCAGCTTATCAGTGGCAGAACTTTGAATCAATTCTGCAAACAACTATATGGATTCATATGATAAACTGAAGTCGTATTTTAACTAATGATGGAATTGACAAATTTAGTCACCACATAATGTGGATGGATGCATATTACACTAACAGTGATCCAAAAGTAATTGTGGACTATAGTGACACGCAAAGCTGTCCACCGCAGGTTCTAGTAATATTACAACTTTTTTTCYCATATTATGACTTTAATGTAGTAATTTAAAAAAGATGAAGTCTAGTTGTGTGACCCTAATACTTTGTCGTAAAATAGCTTACAAATAGGATCCATTTTAAAAACAAGAAGTTGGGTGTATAATTACAGTATAACTACAGTGACAAGCCTTATTTTTCTGGAGAAAAGTTTTATGGTCAGACAAGACAAACATGGAGTTATTTGGCAGCAATGACAAGAAGTGTGTTTGAGGAAGTCAAGATGAGGCTTTTAAACCAAATATCATTGTATCAGCTGTCAAGCAAGGTGGTAGTAAACTCATGCTGTGGTACTTGGGCACTGCACAAAATAGATGGAACAACAAAGAAGGAAGTCCAAATTCTTCAACTTGGACTCAACTTGGACATAATGCATACCAGCATCTCAAACACGCAGCAAAACCAGTTTCTGATTGGAAAAAGCTGTCTAACATTGAGATTCTGGAAAGGCATTCTTAAAGTTCTGATCTCAAACCTGGTAAAAATTTGTGCACTTTGTTTAAAAGGGGTCTTTGCCAGAAAACCAACCAATCTAAATACTCGCTACCAAGAGAAGTAGTCAAATACCCAACCAGATCTATGCAAGAAATGTATTGATTACTGGGAAAAAAACATGCGGTTGAGTTTACAACTCACTAAGGGACATTTAACTAAATAGTGAGCTGTATGTACATTATACTGAATATTTGAGAGTGTATGTGTCATTTTAACCCTGTGTCAATTAGGGGAAAAAATCACAATAAAGTCAGTTTTGTGCATCCCATTCTTGTTTCAAAAATATTGAATTTGTAAATTGCAAAATCATTTAAAAATGGAAAACAAAAAGAATTCAAATAAATCATTAAAAAACACAAGGACTACAACAAGCTTGTGCTGAGTGTATGCAAACCTCTGACCTCAACTTCTGAGATTATTAAAAACAGATGTATAAACATGAAAATGTCAAAAAGAAACAAAAAAAAAGAACATTAAATGTGGTGGTCTAGTTGTTGCATTAACAAAACAAATACTCACTTGTAAAGATTTCTTTTGACAGGTACTCCCTGGTGCTGATTGCTTACAAAATATCTGTAAAAAAAGGTTCATGTTTAGATTTTTTTATATACTTTTACATTTTCTGTTGTTTTCCACAAATGTTTAGTTTATCCCTTACATGGCATCCTTTGTTAACTTTGAGATGTAAATAACTTCCCACTTGCCAGAGGTTATAGGTGTTGCACTGCCCTGAAGAAAAAGCCTAGTTTAATTCATCAAAGAACAACGACCAAGGAATTTTAATATATTCCCCTAAAAATTAATACTTTTAATAAATACACTCACATTTTTAACATGATGTATATGTTTGTAGCCATGGGAGTCACTCATGATTTTGTAGAAACTGAGCTTATCTTCAGCAAAGAAAAGAGGCAAGGGCACATACTGCAAATATAAGTATTATGTTAGAGTCATTAAAACAAAATGGGTGATAAACTATAAGATTTTTTGGAAACTTACATGACCAATCCAACCTGTTTTGCTTGTTTGCTCAAATTTCTGTGAAACACAAATGAATTTATTTAGCATCAACTAACYAATTTATATTGTCAAAGTTTTAATTTGGAAACAACAAGAGATGGTTTCTTAAAGCAAAGTGAGTAACCAAAGAAGGAACATCTACCTGTCCTTCTTTCCACTTGCTTCCATCAAAGTCATAGATCTGCACGACGGCCTGATTCTGTTTCCTTGTGAGCCACTGCACTGCGAGGCGCTCATCCGTTACCCAGGTCACTGAGCACAAAATGTGATCACTGAGGAGAGACAACAGAAAGTGACAAAGTCTTCAGATGGGTCAGATCAGAAAGACAGGGCTTCAGTTTCTGCTTTTAAATGTGTGATTAAATAATGATGGAAGCTAAATGATAAACAGACCCTAAGGTGACGGCTACAGGAGGAATAACCTGAGCGCGGAGAGATGGATTTATGGTATCAACCACAATCAACTTCACTCTGGTAAGATTTGATCCAGCCTAAATTAGAGAGAAGTGTAGCAGTCTGAACACATGATTATAAAGACATAAAATAATAAAGGGATCCACATTTACCTATAACATTAGACATTATTTGATAAAAAATTACTTCAACTGTAAAACAAAGACTGCACAATTACTGTAGGCNGTACTTAAACAAACCACAAGCATTGATTTTGACCAAATATTCGTAGTGCAAAATTGTAAATTAACATATTTATTTTAAATCAACACAAATCAGAGGATAATTTAAGACTCAAACTCAGAGTTATCAACTTTAGAGAGTTTCTCAAAGCATGACACTGCAAATAAACAAAACCAGTCTGTTTACAAACCTGCACTGTGTTTGAGCTCCCTGATTGGCTAAGGCACCAGTACTGTAATCAAGTCTCTCTATACTCTCAAACCACAAGGATCTCACTGGTTTATCTCTGAGGCCTTGTTTACACATGAGCAATCTCTGAAAAGCGTTAGCCTTTTCTTCCAATGTTGATTTTAAAAATCCAACATAACAGACCTGTTTACATGTAAAATACCGTGTTTGTTAAATCCATCGTGATTTTCATGCCAGACTGGGTTGCCAGAAAATAAAATTAAAAAAAAAACTGGGCCTGAGTGACCCAGGGTGTCTGGTACATTAGCATTGAACCATTTGGCTCCTTTGAATTGTGGATTGGGTTTGTTTACTTTTATTTTTTTTTTACAAATGCTATTACATTTCAACAGATAAGTACCTGATGAGACTGAAGGTCAGGTAAACAGCACAGGTGTCAAACACCAGACATCGAGGACCACAGTCCTGCACGTTTTAAACGTTTCTCAGCTCCACACATTAGTTTTACGTGAACGGGTGATAAACAGGCTTCTGCATAATTTGAATAGTTTATCACTGAATCAGATGTATTGGAGCATAAAAACAAAACAAAAAAAAAACAAAAACATGCAGGATAGTGACCCTTGGGCTGAAGATTGACACCACTGTTTTTAGAGTAGATTTCCAAAGACACTTTTTGGAGCTCACTCCCAGCTGTTTTGCAGAACTTATAGTCCAGGGACAAAACTGAGTCGAACGCCTTCTCCAAGTCCACAAAACACATGTAGACTGGGGAAACTCCCATGCACCCTTGCACACTTGTACTTACGAATTTTTCACATCATAGATGGAATATGAGGCTGTGTATGAATGTCTCCATTTCTGTGGGGATTTCAAACACAAAACTTGTTTTTCCACGTTATATCGATAGATTTTTACTATAAAATCACTTTAAACGAATGATTGCACAAATAAAGCCAGCATTCACCTTTGTGTAGTTGCTTTCAAAAGCAACATATTTATGATCTCCTGACAACCAGTAACCGATGGCGCCCACTTTTTCCTGAAAAGTGATAGTTTAAGATTTCTGTTCAGATGAATAAAACACCGTTCATGTAAAAATCTAAAAAAGAATTGAAAAAATAAATATTTTTTTTACAAAAGCTGAGCTGTTCAAATACAGCGACATCTTATCAGTCACAGCGTTGTGGAGAAAAACGTTCCCATCGCTGGTTTTGTGCAAATACTCCTCATCTGCACACACACACACACACACACACACACACACACACAC